GGCAACAATGCTTGATAAGAAATGTACTCACTATCTTGCCCATGTAATTGTAACCCCTCTGTATGGTATTTTCACAATAATTAAAAAAAAAAAAAGAGTCTCATGAACTTATCTGCCTGGTCAGGCTTTGAACAGATCTCAGCCTCATGAGTAGCCATGATTACAGCCACCAGTGCCTGACATAAAAATTAATACATTTTTAAATGGGGGAAAGTGAAGGTAGGGGTGACATTGTCCAAGAAGAACAATACTCATTATCTGACTTATGGAACTGAAAACTCTCTGAACAACTCCTTAATGATAACAATTAAAAATTAATTAAAATATTTTTTATTTTAAGCTTTGGCTTTAAATTTATTTATTTATTTATTTTTGCCAGCCCTGGGGTTTGAGACTTGAACTCAGGGCCTGGGTATTGTCCCTGAACTTCTTTTGTTCAAGGCTAACACTACCATTTGAGCCACAGCACCACTCTGCCTTTTTCTGTAGTGGTACTAAGGAACTGAACCTAGGGCTTCATGCATGCTAGGCAAGTACACTACCACTGAGTCACCTTCCCAACCCCTTTAAACTTTTTTGTTTTTGTTTTTTTGGGTCTGGTCATGGGGCCTGAACTCTGGGCCTGGGCGCTGTCCCTCAGCTCTTCAGCTCAAGGCTAGTGCTCTACCACTTGAGCCACAGCGCCACTTCCGGCTTTTTTCTTTTTGCTTATGTGGTGCTGAGGAATCGAACCCAGGGCCTCTGGCATGCAAGGCATGTGCTCTACCACTGAGCCACCTTCCCAGCCCCCCTTTAAACTTTTTATTTATTTACTTATTTATTTCAGACATCATTTTGTTATGCAGTGCAGCTTGGCCTTGAACTCATTGTGTACCCTAGGCTGCTCTTGCACTTGAGATATTCCTGTCTCACTATCCTCAATGCTGAGATTATACCCTGTGCCTTTATGCCTGTTTAACCTCTGACTTTAAATCCTTGATCTGTTTTTTGTCGCTTTTCCCTAAATTTGAAGAAAAGTTTTTTTTTGGAAAAGGGAAAAGAGTATAGAATAATTGAAGGATTATGCTAAATATTGAGCTTTTCTAAATGCCAGTTTCCTTACCTATAAAAGTCTATCTTTATTAAAAGGCTTTTTTTTGGGGGGGGGTGCACAGTAAGGGAGTCAAAGGAGAATATGAAATTACTGTGAAATTTGAAAATGAACTGAAATCTCTTTTCATAATTTTTAGAACTCCAAGGACATAGGCCTGATTATTAGTATTATTTTAATTATTATCATTAAATAGTATAAAAATGTTACAGTGAATATTATTATTATTATTAGCCAATCCTGGAGCTTGAACTCAGGGCCTGGGCACTGTCCTTGAGCTTCTTTTGCTCAAGGCTAGCACTCTATCACTTGAGCCACAGCACCACTTCTGGCTTTTTCTGTTTATGTGGTACTGAAGACTTGAACCCAGGGCTTTATGTATGCTAGCAAGCAGTCTACCATGAAGCTACATTCCCAGCCCTGAATATTATTTTTATGGAGAAATCTTCTAGTCTTTTGGGTTTTCAAATATGTTACTTCTTTCTTTTTCCTTTTCCTTCAGTTTTTTTTGGGGGCAGGATTCCCCCATGTAGTTCAAGCTGGCCTTGACTTTATCATCTGCTCCTCCTGCCAGAGCCTCCAGAGTGCTGGCATTATAGCTGTCTATCATCATATCCAGCTATACCTTGTTTCTTAAAGTACTACTTAAGAAGCTTTGTTGTAATATTTAAAAGGTACTGATGAGTAATGGGCAAGATTATGAGACTACAACTAAGACAGTAGAAGGGATAGAGAGGAAAGGGTAGATAGATGTTGAAGTAGAACCAATGTTTGTTGTGATATTGCTACTCTTTAGGTTAAAGATTAATATAAGACAAATTATGTACAAATTGATATTTGAGGCCCTTACAGTATGGTTCATTGAGAAATATAGAAGATATGTAGAAACTTGAGCCTGGTAATTAGGGAAGAAGTTTGGTTTAGAGAAATACATTGGTAAATCAGAGTCATAAGTATAGTTAGAATGATTAGAGAGAGGATATATACAACAATAAAAGGAATAGAGCTTAGAAAGCAGCAGCATTAGGAGGGGACAAAGGAGACTAAGAATGAATGAGCAGAGACATGGAAAGGGAGCTAAGAGTTATTGATATGACCCTCTCTCTCTCTCTTCTTCCAAACTTCCTTGTCCTCCCTTTTTCAGGGCCTCATCCTTGTTATGTTGGTACTTTACTGCTGAGCCATGCCCTCAGTCCTACACTTAGGTGTTTGTGTGTGTGTTTGTGTATGTGTGTTTGTGTATCCTGGGACTTGAACTCCGGGCCTAGAAATGGTCCATAAACTTTTGTGTTCAAGACTATACATAAGTATAAAGAAAAATAATTACAGGCTTGTGCCTGTAATCCTTGCTACTCAGGAGGCTGAGATCTGAGGATCACAGTTCAAAGCCAGGATGGACAGAAAAGTCCATGTAACTATTGTCTACCTCCTGAGTAGCTGGGTTCAGATTACAGACATGAACTACTAGTGCCTGAACCCCCCCCCCTTTTTTTTTTTGAGATAGGGTCTCATTACATAGCGCAGGCTGGTCTTGAACTAGTAATCCTCCTGCCTTGGCCTACCAAATGTTGGGATTACATGAGTGCACCTCTGATTACAAAGGTCTTTTCCTAATGATTCCTTACATAGCTTTCTAAAGAATGGTTATAGCTACTATTTAGGGACATTTTGCTTTTCCTTTATGAAAGTGTCATGATAAGGATGTGTTCAAGGTAGCAAAATGGCATGCAGTTTCTTTTATGCTACCTGGCTTTCCTCAAAAATTTTCTTTTATTCTTTAGTGAGATCAGTCGTCTGGACTTGGGTCTAAGTGTGGAGGTATGGAACAAAGGACTGATCTGGGATACAATGGTGGGGACTGTGTGGATTGCTCTGAAGACTATTCGTCAGTCAGATGAGGTCAGTGTGCTCTCTGGTTGGAGGTATGGTTTTAGCCCTCACTTTTCTTCACCTTGGATTCTCTTCAGCTGATACATGTATCACAGATTTACTCTTTTTCTAATAGAAGGCATGTTATCCTAACCTTACCCAGAGGAACAGGGGATTGTGTTGAGTGTATTCTTTCCTATACTCTGTAGCTGATCTCAGAAGAGCCAGAGTACCACTTTAGTCTTCATATGTGCTTGGATATGTCTCTTCTATGAACTCTCCTAGGAGTAATCCCATTCAATATCCTTAGCTACTTGACTGGATCTGATTTTTTGCTTAGTTTCTCTGAATCACCAATCCCCATATAACTGTCTTCGGATCTCTTCTGTATTTAACCATAATATAAATTTAAGGAACTTCCAGGTTTAGCACTAGGCATTCATATTGTCTCCATGTGTTATTTCCAAATGGAACTCTCACTCTACTTTCTCAGATTAAAGCATAACTCAGTATCATTTTCTTCATAGCTACTTTATATTTAGGCAGAAGCTGCTATATTCTTATTTGACGTTAACATGAAATAGGACTTTGATTCGCAGGGGATAAGTTGAAGATGTTTCTTCTACTTATTTTCTTTATTTCCCTTAATTCTGTATAGGTCTCTACACTGTCCAGGCATATAACAGTTCATTTTCATTGCTGCCCTTGTTCAGTTCTATTCATTTAGCAATGTCAGTAACTCTTACTAATAAGAAGCAGTGATATGTATCATTATGTGGCACAATCATTAAGAACCACACAGATCAAGATTTTTTTAAAACCTTTTTTTCTGATTAAATCTTAATCTTAGAGTCTGGTACTGTGGAAATTTTGTGCTCATTGGGAACAGAAAACTGAGCCCAATGAAAGTGCCCTCCCTGCCCCATGGGAGAATAGAAGCCAAGTACAGTGGCAGGTGGTGATAGTGGTATGTTTGCCTTATCAGGATGTGAGTAGCCCTCAGAAGTTCCCAGAGGAGGAAATTCAAGAGAAAATCACCTGGCTCTTCAGGGAGCCAAAAAAGATTAATTTTTAATCTTAGATCTTTGTTCCCTAGGAAGGGCCTGGGGAATGGTCTACCCTGGAAGCAGAGACATTAATGAAAAATGATGAGATATGTGGAACTAAAAACCCAACTCCTCATAAGATTTTGCTTGATACAAGATTTGAGTTGCCTTTTGGTAAGTCTATTTGATGATAATTTATAAATAATTTAACTTATCACGTTGCTTGAGATTGTTTGCTAGTTTTTGCACTAATGTAAACAGTGGGAATAGTAGTATATTGTGTTATTGTTGTTGGTTTTGGTTGTGAAGCTTGAACTCTAGGCCTGTGTGCTGTTTCTGAGCTCTTCAGCTAAAGGCAAGCACTCTACCATTTGAGCCACAGCACCACTTCCGGTTTTTTGGTGGTTAACTGGAGATAAGAGTTTCACAGACTTTCTTGCCTAGGCTGGCTTTGAACTGGGATCCTCAGATCTCAGTCTCCTGAGTAACTAGGATTACAGGTGTGAGCCACTGGTGCTTGGCATTTGTGTTGGTTTTTATAGAGACTCAAGATAATGTATACAGCATGAATCAAATTATATAATACTGCCACCTTTCTAACTACAATCATTATTTGAGTAAATAAAGTATTATCTGTTGATGACTGAACTATACTGGCTGATACAATTTCTTCATTTTTATGGTAGATATACCAGAAGAGGAAGCCAGATATTGGACCTATAAATTGGAGCAAATCAATGCTTTTGGAGCTGATAATGAGGTAGGAACTACATTTATTTATTTATTTATTGCCAGTCCTGGTGCTCGAACTCAGGGCCTGGGTGCTGTCCTGAGTCTCTTTGTGCCCAATGCTAGAGCTTTCCAAGTAATTTCTTTCTTTATTTTTATTATTATTATTTTTTTGGGTCCGGTCATGGGGCCTGAACTCTGGGCCTGGGCGCTGTCCCTCAGCTCTTCAGCTCAAGGCTAGTGCTCTACCACTTGAGCCACAGCGCCACTTCCGGCTTTTTTCTTTTTGGTTATGTGGTGCTGAGGAATCGAACCCAGGGCCTCTTGCATGCAAGGCAAGCGCTGTACCACTGAGCCACCTTCCCAGCACCCCCCCCCCCAGTAATTTCTTAGAGATAAGAATCTCATGAACTTTCCTGTCCAGGTTGGCTTTGAATCACAATCATCAGATCTCAACCTCCTTAGTAGCAAGGATTACAGGTATGAGCCGCTGGTGTTTGGCTATCTTATTTTTAGTATGGAGAAATGAGGAATATCTGATATCCTTTATAGCTTGTACAGGGAGGATCCCAGGAACTATATGTTGTCCTGAGGAATTAAATTAAAAAAATTGTTTGTGAACTGGGATCCAGTGATTTACAACTATAATCCTAGCTACTTAGGAGGCAGAAAATGGGAGGGTTGCAGTTTGTGGCCAGCCTGGCAGAAAAGTTTATGGGACTGCCTTCTTAACTGATAGCTGAGTACAGTGAGGTGAACCTGTCATCCCAAGCTATATGAGAGGATTGTGATGCCTGGCCAGTCTAGCAGAAAAGTCTATAGCAAAGTGTCCATAGAAGGGGAGATGGATACAATGACATATGCCTGTGATTGCAGCAATAATAGGAAGTCCATAGGAGGTGGATCCTGGCTCAGGTGTGTACTGAGTGAGAAGTGACACCCTGTCTCAAGGTGGCTCAGTGGTAGAGTGCTTGCCTTGCATACAAGAGGCACTGGGTTCAATTTCTCAGCAACAAGTAAGCAGAAAAATCTGGAGGTGGTCTTGTGGCTCTAGCCACAAGAGCACTAAGCCTTGAGCTGAAGAGCTCAGGGACAACGCCCAGGCCCTGAGTTCAGGCCCCAGGACCAACACACACACACACAAAAAAAAGACAGGGGTGGAGTCCTGGCTTACTTATACAGTACTAGCCTAACAAGCTCAAGGCCCTAAGTTCAAACCACCAATACTGCCAAAAAAATAATGTGTACTGAGGTTTGAACTCAGGGTTTCATACATATTTGGCAACTCCTTTACCATTGAGCTACATCTCTATCTTGCAAGAATCAAATAATATTTTCTTTTGAGACAGTCTTGCTATGTAGTTTAGACTAGTCTCAAACCCTCAGTCTTCCTACTTAAATGCTGGGATTATAGGCATGTTTTATCACAATTAGCAGAACAAAATTAATTGTATTCTTAAGCTAATGAGTGAGAGGATTAACTGAAATTTTAGTATGAAGTTCCATCTCTGTGTTTCTGATTTCTTCTACTGTTCCTCAGAAGGTGCTTGTTTGGTGGTAGACTGTTGAGGAGAGAACTGGTTCCAGGGGAATCTGTCCTCTTTTGTTATACAAATGCACAGAAGGCATTTCTCCTATTTGCTCCCAGATATTAGAATATTACCCTTATTTGTGTGCTCTTTTTGGAGATACGTTAACTATTGTATTACTTTATTCTTCTGTTATAACATCCTTAGAGATTAATAAGTCTGGTGTGTAGACAACAATCAACTCAGTCTGGGGCATTAGGAATAAGAAATGCTTTTGTTATTGTTTGTAGAAAGAAAAGATAAATTTGTTTTAGGACAATTAGACTATTAAAAAATGAGTCCTGCCAAATGTCAATGGTTCAGGCCTATAATCCTAGTTATTCAGGAATGTGAGATACAAGGATTACAGTTGGAAGCCAGTCTGAGCAGGAAAGTCTGTGAGACTCTTGTTTCCAATTAGCCACCCCCCCAAAAAAAAACAAAAACAAAAAACTGGATGCAGAGCTGTAGCTCAAGTGGTAGAGTGCTATCAGCCCTCAGGCCCTGAGTTCAAGCTCCAGTACACAAAAAAGGTTTTATTATAAGATACAATTTGAATGCCAGAGGATATTTCAGTGGAAATGTCTAGTACGTAACTTTATAAAAAGTTTTAAGCCAGGCACCAGTTGCGTATGCCTATAAGCCTAGATACTCAGGAAGCTGAGATCTGAGGATTGTAGTTCAAAGCCAGTCCAGGAAGAAAAGTTTGTGAGACTCTAATCTCCAATTAACTACAATAAAGTTGGAAGGGGAGCTGTGGCTCAAGTTGTAAAGCACTAGCCTTGGGCAAAAAAGCTCAGGGACATTACCCAGGACCTGAGTTCAAGCCCCCAGACCACTACATACATACATACAAACAAACATACATACATACATAAAATTGAATTCTAAGAAATAAAAGACACCGAGAAATATTTGCCTGAGAGAATAGAAAGGTTTCCAAGAATAAAGGTAAAAGATATTCCAAGTAGAAAATCTTAGTAGTATAATGATGTGCTCAAAGAAAATGAATTCTGAAAAAGAACAATGGATTTGATCCTTAAGGACAAGTGACCATCCACAGATGTATTAGGAGCCAAAATGCTTTGGCTTGAGTATATTAAGTTCTGAGAACTTTAATAAAGCATCAGTAAGTGGCTTTATTCTGTCAAATCTCTGGAAATCTGATATCAAAGCATTGGCAGGGCCATACCAGATCTGTGTGGAGAATCATGCCTCAGTCATTGAGCTAATGGCTGCTGACAGTTCTTGCTGTCTTTGATTAATGGATGCATCATCTCATCTCAACCTGTTATTGTCATATTACTCTCTGTGTGTCCCTATGTACGTCTTCACAGTGCATTCTCTTCTGTGTGCCTATGTTCATTCTGCCTGTAAGAATACCAGCCATTAATTTGATTACATCTGTAGTAGTTCCAAATAAGGTCACATATATATTTTGGAAACAGTATGATGCATTGTGAATTAAATCAAAGATGAAGAAATGGAATTTGGATAAAGTGATAGCTACTCTTTTCAGTTGACTTCTTAAATTTTTTTTTTTTTGAGACAAGGTCTCAATATGTAGCCTCACTGTCCTGAAACAAAAGATCTTCCTATTTCAGCCTCCTAAGTGCTGGGATATGTTATGACTCTACTCTTAGTAGACTTTTTTTTTTCTGATTTTCTTTTTTTTGTGTGTGCCAGTACTGGGGCTTGAACTTGTAAGACCTCTTGCTCAGCTTTTTCGCTCACTGCTGATACTCTACCACTACTACTTCAGCCATATCTCTATTTCTGGTTTTTTTTTTTTTTTTTGCTGGTTATTGGAGATAAGGGTCTCTCAGATTTGTCTTCTAGGGTTGACTTTGAACTATGAGCCTCAGATCTCAGCCTCCTAAATAGATAGGATTATAGGTGAAAGCCACTAGGGCCCAGTATTTATTAGAGTTTTACTATTAATCTGTATAATTTTTTTTGGTTGGTCGTGGGGCTTGAACTCTAGAGCCTCGGTGCTGTCCCTCAGCTCTTCAGCTCCAGGCTAGCTCTCTACCATTTGAGCCACAGCACCATTCCATTTTCTGAGTGATTTATTGGAGATAGGAGTCTCACAGAAGTTCCTGCCTGGGGCTGGCTTTGAACTGGGATCCTCAGATCTCAGTCTCCTGAGTAGCTAGGATTACAAGTGTGAGCCACCTGTACCTGGCTTAATCTGCATAATTTATTTCATACTCAAGCTAACATTTTAACTTTTCTGGTTTTGTGTGAGTGAGAGAGAGAGAGAGAGAGAGGGAGGGAGGGAGAACAAGAGAGAGGGAGAGAGGGAGAGAGGGAGGGGGGAGGAAGAGGGAGAGAGAGAGAGAGAGAGAAAGTGAATGCTGATCCTGGGGCTTGATCCTGGGCACTGTTCCTGAGCATTTCAAGGCTAGTGTTTTACCACTTGAGTCACAGTTCATTTCTGGCAGTTTTTTTGGTAGTTAACTAGAGATTAGACTTTTCTGCCTGGGTTGGCTTCAAACCTCAATAATCTTCAGATCTCAGCCTCCTGAATATCCTGTTAAGATAACAGGCATGAGTCACTGGCACCTGGCTCTTTTCTTCCTTATTGAAAGCTTCAATAAAGCCTGTCTGTGTAGTAATTTACAGGCTTTCAAGCTTTAATCAAGATGATAAAGAAGTATTCTGTACTTTTGACTTTATATATTTTACTTTTTGTCACTATGAAGAATGAGATAAGTGGATTAAAATGATGTAAAAAATTACAGTATTTTATAAATTCTAATAATAATGGTTCTTGGTCTATAGTTTCCCTTGAGATTTTTGCTTTTTGATTCATTTCTAAAATGTGATTCATTGACCTTATATCTTTATTTGCTCTTTACCACCCTGCTTTTACTTTAACATCTTTAATGAAATATACATGCATATATAGGTCACTTATTTAATGTATACAGTTCAATGGCTTTTAGAATACTCACAGAGTTGTACATCCACCACTGCAATTAATTTTGAATACTTTCATTACCCTGTAAGAACACCTTGTGATGCAGGCCAGCACTCTTTAATCTCTCATCTTCTAGCCAAGGACTCATTTGCCTCTGTGTTGATGTTTCTTATGAATAGAATTATATACTTTGTGGTCCTTTGTGACTTTCTTTGATAGTAAAATGTTTCAATATTTTATATATGTTTTGGATGTTACCTCAGCAATATCCCAAACATATGAAACCAATCAATTAATTATTTTCTTTTTAGCAGGGTAGTACCATGATTTTATGAATTTGTTACCAGACATTTAATGTCTTTTGAGGGCCTGTTTTCTGGCTCATAGATGGTATCTTCTCTTTTTATTTTTTTAAAATTTTTTAAATTTTTATTTTTTTATTTTTTGTGAACATACTGTACAGAGGGGTTACAATTACATGGGCAAGATAATGAGTACATTTCTTAGCAAGCATTGCAGCCTCCTCCTTTGTTTATCCTTCACATCCCTTCCAAGCCACCCCCCCATCTCCTCCCCCCCACCCCGCCCCGCCCCCAGATGGTATCTTCTTACTAAACCTTCTCATGGGAAAAGTGACAAAGCCTCCTTTAGGAGTTATTAATGCCATTCATAAAAGTCACTGCCTTCAAGGCTTATAAACCTTTCAAGGGTCCACCCTCTAATAATCACATTGGTGATTAGGTTTCAACAAATGAATTCTGAAGGGACACAAATCTTTAGAGCATAGTAGATAGAACATATATTTTTTTTCCATCAGGGTTTAATTCTGTTTTATTATATTTTTTCTTAATCATTGTGCACAACATTAAAAAACTACATTTTCTATTATGTCATCTTATAAGTGAATGCTTTGATGCTCTTTTTTTTTTTTGTTAAATACTGGTACTTAAGCTTGCATTCAGGAACTTAGCTCTGTTTCTTGAGCTGTTTTTGCTCAAAACTAGTGTTCTACCACTTGAGCTACAGCTCTACTTCTGGCTTTGGGAGTTAATTGAAGATAAGAGTCTCATGAAAATCTGGGCAAGTCTCATGAAAAGTTGGGCACCAGTGGCTCAAGCCTGTAATTCTAGCTACTCAGGAGGCTGAGATCTGAGTTAAAAGCCAACCCCAGGCAAGAAAGTCTGAGAGATTTATTTCCAATAACCATCAGTGGTGCTGTGTCTCAAAATGGTAGAGCACTGCCCTTGAGCAAAAAAAGCTCAGGAACAGCACCCAGGCATTGAGCCCAGGACTGACCCCCCAAAAAAATTGGTGAGGAAATCAATAAATAAATAAGGCTAAAACTTTATAGTTTATTAACATTTCTATAGTTTTTATATTATGTCATTTTTTGTTGTTCCAGGATCTCATTTAGTTTACTCTATTACATATAGTTGCCATGTTTCCTTAGGTTCTACTTGCTTATGACATTTTTATCATACTTTCCTTGTTTTTGATGACTACCTAGGAAATCCAGCATAGTTGACGCTCTGTATGTAAGGGCTCCACATCCTCTGATTCTGCCCACCTTGTACTGAAAATATTTATAAAAAAGGTTGCACCTGTAAAGAGCATGTAGTTCTGTGTGGGTTTTTGTGTGTATGTGTGTGTGTGTGTGTGTGTGTTCTTTTGGTACTAGGGATTGAATCCTCACATAAGCCAAACCTGTGGTCTTCAAGTGAACTATACACACTTAACCATAAAAGATACTTTTTTTCTCATCATCATTTCATAAACAATGCAGTTTAATAACTATTTACATAGATTTTACATTACATTATAGATTGTAAGTAATCTGGACATGTTTAAATAAAAAGCTGTGCATAAATTACATGTAGATACTTTGCTGTTTTATAGAAGGAGGTTGAGCACATATTGATTTTTCCTTCCTTCCTTCCTTCCTTCCTTCCTTCCTTCGTCTTTGTCTTTCTTTTTTTTTCAGTACTAGTGTTTGAACTCAGAGCCTCATCCTTACTAAGCAGGTGCTCTCCTTTAGCACTTGAACAAAACTTCCATTTTTTTTTATTTAGTTATGTTTTCAGTAGGGTCTCACTTTTGTTCTGGATCATGATCTTCCTATTTGTTTTCCATGTAGCTCTGATGATAGACACACTACCATACCCAACTTTTTATTATTTGAGATGAGGTCTTGTGGACTTTTTTTCACCACATCTGGCCTTGACCTATGATTCTTCTGGTTTTAGCAACCTGAGTAGGTATGTTTTCTATCAGTGGATTTTGATTTTGAGGGTGTCTTGAAACCTATCTTCTATGAATATGAAGGGATAGCAAATACACAATATTTAAAAAAAGATTTATATTAGCACACTTTAGTTGTACAAAGGGGGCTTTATTATGACATTTCCATACATGCATACAGTGTATCCCTATCAACCCCTCTCTCTCCCTTATCCTGCCCTTTTCAAAACAGTTTCAAAGTGATTTTATTGTTCTATTTTCATACCTGCACATGAAGTACTTCGACCATATTCACACTCATTTGTCCTCTCAGTTGACCATCCCTCCACCTGAGCTTGCTTTACTCTCTTGTTTGGAATGTGCAGTTTTTAACAAAGTGGACAATGAATATTAAAGAGAATGGTCCATGTGTAAAGCAAGATGTTTCTCATTAGTTTTGGTAGATATCCTTTATTAGATTAAAGAAATTCTGTTTTCTTTCTGATTTTCTAAGCATTTTTGTCATGATGTGCACTGGAAATTTTATAAATTTTCTGCAGCTATTGGACTACATAGTGTGTTTAATGTGATAAAGCACATAAATTTCCCTGATGGGAAATTGGCTGAAGAAAAACTCAGAGACCTGTGAAATACTCTAAAGACAAGCCTTTTATAGCTATCTGGAAGGGTTGGGCTGGTGCACTTGATCAAAATAGCCACGTTTCCATCTGATTTAGCCTGTCTCATTGAGCCAATACAGTAACAGAGTCTGTCCTATATATCAGGGTCACATAGGAAAAAAGCAATGGGATGTTGTGTTTCTATTCCTGATATTACACTTAAAAAAGGCGGGGTGGGGGGAGGTGTGATTTTTGCCTCCTCTCTTTTTACTTGGGCCTCTTATATATGTTTTCCCCCTTTTCTGCTTCTAGTATTCTATTCAAGAAGAAAGCCAGAGGAAGCCCTTGCCCACTGCTGCCGCCCAGTGTTGTAAGTGAGAAACTTCTCTCTGAACCTGCTTTAATTACAGCTTTCTGTCTCTTCTCCACATGTGGCTTATTTTGAGTCAGGAAGGGTGGAGATTTGGAAACTATTCCAGGAATTCTGCTGTCTAGGTACAGATGCCCAGTGAGTGATTAGGCATTCACCCTTAGGTTTCAAGAAGTCCTTTGGGTTTGATGTTGTAGGTAGAACAGCAATATAGTCTTCATCTTTTTTTCTCTATTTGCTACTCCTCTATTACTGTTTACTTGTTTTTTTTTTAGATTAAATTGCTTTTCTGTTTCTATATGTGCTTTTCTTATTTGGGTACCATCTTTTCCTTTTTAAAATTATTCACCTGAATAAATATTTAATTTACATAAACTTGGTATTTGAAATGATTAAATTGAAAGTGTTAATTTGAAAGTATTAAAGGGAATATAGTAAAATATTTCCCATCCATTCTTATTCTTCAACCAGTGGGGTCTTCCCTCTCAGAAGTTGTTTTTACCCTTGCCCAAATGTACATTTTATATATATATCAATATATATATATATCAATATATATATATATCAATATATATATATATATATATATCATGTACTATAAAAATATACACAGACAACTTATATTTTAAGATTTCAATGCTCCTTGATTAGTGTCCCTCTTGGAATTTATTGGAGCCACAGGAAAAGATTGTTTATTTTCTGAGTTCCTTGTCACTATAGAGACCTGTTTCCAGAAATCCTGGCCATGAATACAATGGGCATTTCCTGTGTTTCCAATCACCCTGCTAAAATGACTTTAACACATTTTGTTATGGGTTTAAGAATTCTGGCACTAAGCTGGGTGCTGGTGGCTCACGCCTGTAATCCTAGCTACCCAGGAGGCTGAGATCTGAGGATCGTGGTTCAAAGCCAGCCTGGGCAGGAGAGACCGTGAGACTCCTATCTCCAATAAACCACCAGAAAACCGGAAGTGGCGCTGTAGCTCAAGTGGTAGAGCGCTAGCCTTGAGCTGAAGAGCTGAGGGACAGCGCCCAGGCCCAGAGTTCAAGCCCCATGACCGACCAAAAAAAAAAAAAGAATTCTGGCACTTTATTTTTGTAGAGTTTCCTCACTAATTTCAAATTCTTTTTTTTTTTTTTTTTTGTTGGTTGTGGGGTCTGAACTCTGGGCCTGGGCGCTGTTCCTGAGCTCTTCAGGTCAAGGCTAGCGCTGTACCACTTGAGCCACAGCGCCACTTCTGGCTTTTTCTGCTTATGTGGTACTGAGGAATTGAACCCAAGGCCTCAAGCATGCAAGGCAAGCACTTTGCCACTGAGCCACCTTCCTAGTCCCCAATTCCAAATACTTTTATTGTTATTGTTATCTTTAAGAAGTTTTGAAAAGGAGTTACCATTCAATAAATCAGTTCATGAACATAATGCATTTTGATTGATGTCACTTCTTTCAAAATTTTGGATTCTTGGTGGTTACTCTGCCTGGTGTTGGGAAGCAGTGGTTGTTTTCTCCTTTAAACAGTCTAAATCAGTCCCTTTTTATTCTTTTTCTTTAAAAAAAAACCTATTTTTTGTTGTTATAACGGTGATGTACAGAGAGGGGTTACAGTTATGTCAGTCAGGTAATGAGTATATTTCTTTTTCTGGACAATGTCCCCCCTTCCTTCCCTCTCTTCTAGTTTCTTCCTCCCATCCCCACTGTAAAGTTGTGTAGTTCATTTTCAACATAGTGTGTCTAGTAAATGCCTTAAAAAAAAAAAACCACCTTGGGTGCCAGTGGCCCACACCTGTAATCCTAGCTACTCATGATCATGTTTTGAAGCCAGCCTGAACAGGAAAGTCCATGGGACTCATCTTCAATTAACCACAAAAAATCCAAAAGTGCAGCTGTGGCTTAAGTGGTAGAGTGCTAAGGGACAAGCTAAGGGAAAAGCCCAGGCCTTGAGTTCAAGCCCCAGTATCAGTACACATATATAAAAACTTATCATATACTTATTATAAAAATCATCAGGTGATTTAGAATGTATAATATGGAAAGTGAAAGTTATTTGTAATTCTGCCTTTCAAGTTCATTCCAACATTTCTACTGCTACATAGTCTCTCAACGTCTTTTTTTTTTTTTTTTTTGGTGCCAGTACTAGGGCTTGAAGTCAGGGCCTGGGCACTGTCCCTGAGCTCTTTTGCTCAAGGATAGAGCTCCACCACTTGAGCCACAGCTCCACTTCCAGCTTTTTGTGGTTAATTGGAGATAACAGACTTTTCCTACCCAAGCTGGTTTCAAACATGTTCTCAGAGCTCAGCTTCTGAATAGCTAGGATTACAGCATGAGTTACCAGCACCTGGCTTTCTCTCTACATCTTAATCCATTTTCCCTCCCTTCCATCCCCTTGCCTGCCTTCATGCCTTCCCTTTCTTTCCTTTTATCTTTCCTTTTTTCCCCCAGATCTTCCAAGTCTGTTTGCTCAATGTACAACAGCTGCATAATGACTCACATTCATAATATTCTATTATTAAGGAAAATCTGTGTGTCTGTGTGTGCACGTGTGTGCAGTATTGAGGGTATAACCCAGAACTTTGAGAATATTAGTCAGGTGCTCTATTACAAATCAAGGTTTAATCCAGATCAGGCAGAAAAGTTAGTGAGACTTCATCTCCAGAATAACCAGCAAAAAGCCAGGCCAGGCTTGTGGCATTGCTCAAGTGGTAGAGAACCCGCTGGATAAGCTGAGCAAGCTGAAGGCCCTTGTTCTTGATAATTAGATCCTCTTTGGTGTCCAGGAAGTTTCTTTTCAGGTTGGAAACTTCTGTCCTTCTGCTTATTTGCTTTATTTGGCACTCCTTTGTTACCATGATATTAATGAAAATAAAATTAGAAAAGTGCTGAAAGCATTTTCAAATGGCATAAAGTTTATTTAGGAAGGCTTTCTAGAAGTGATGAGTTTGAAGATAAATTTTGAAGAAGCTAATTAGAATGTATTGATTAAAAGGAGAGACTGTTCATAGTAAGGATAAAAAATAGTATGAAGAAAGGATTCCTAAGATAACCACCTTAACTCCTATCCCCTATCCTTGCAGTCCTGGCCAAACAATCTCTTACTGGTTGGAATATTCTTTGCCTACCACCTCATCTCATTACAAAGTAAAGGATCAGCCACTCATAGTCTAGGACTAGATCTCTTAGAAGCAGACAGATATACAAGTTATAGCCTCCTTACAGTACATAGATAGTATTTAGTGGTAGGGCAGTGCAGTGGGTCCAGGATTTCTGTCAGTAAGAATATGTGATGAGCTTTACACTGTATATATGTTATCAGTGGAAGTAGTTGATAGTAAAGCTAATTACAGGTGCTGGCAAACTAGCAAAGAAAAGGGAGAAAATGTAGCAATGTGAGATTTGGCTGATAAAAATAATGTTAATTGTAGTCTTCTGACTCATTTATTTATTCCCATCCTGCCTTCTTCCACAAATTTGAGGTGGCTAATTACAGTCATTATATCAGTTTGTCATTTATTTTCAATTACAATGTCACAAATTATTGTGCATGTTAAAAGATAAGAATAGGGGCTGGGAAGGTGGCTCAGCTTGCCTTGCATGCATGAGGCCCTGGGTTCGATTCCTCAGCACCATATAAACAGAAAAAAAAAAACGGCAAGTGGTACTGTTGCTCAAGTGGTAGAGCACTTGCCTTGAGCTGAAGAGCTGAGGGACAGCGCCCAGGTCCAGAGTTCAGGCTTACAACCGCAAAAATAAAAAACAAACAAAAAAGATTAACATATGAATTTAATTTGATAACAATACTTAAATGTCTATTCCTACACACAATATATGCATAAAGATTATTTCATGAAAGCGTGGTCATTTGGTGGTGTTTTTTTGTGATACTGAGTTTGAACTCAGTTTTCATGTTTAGTTGGCTTGCTCACTTGCTAAGCTGGCCCTTGTTTGGCTAGCATTACCTCTATCTCTTGAGCCATACCTTCAAGCCTTGCTTTTTTCTTTTTCTTTTTGACAATTTTTTTTTTGTCTTTTCTTTTTTGGTACTAGGGATCAAACCCAGGACGTTGCACTTGCTAGGCAAGCACTTTGCCACTGAGCTACATCCCAGCCCTTTCTTTTTTTTTTTTGAAAGGGAGTCTCATAGACTTTCCCACTCAGGCCTCCTTAGTAGCTAGGATCGCAAGAATGAGCCACTAGTGTTTGCTCATATGCACATAGGCTTCATTGTTATCATGGTAAGTGAATTTGATAAATCAGAATTATAAATAATACATAAATATAAGTTATAAACAATAAAATTATTCATTACAAAATATTATTAGATGTTTCTTCTTCATGCCAAGCAATGTAGTAGCACTTAGAATATAGAAATGGAATTCTCTGATCTAGGGGAGCTCAAGTCCAGAGAGGAAGGAACCTATAGGTAGCACCATATATTGATACATGAAGAGAAAAGTTAGTCAAGGATTATAGAGGAAGAAAATCCAGACTGGAATGATTACAAAAAGTTTCCTTTAGAAAATGATATCTCAGCCAAAGTTGGTAGTTTATGATTCTTGATGATATGTATCCTTTTTTTGAGGTACACACACACACACACACATATACATATATACATGTGTGTGTATGTGTGTGTGTGTGTGTATATATATATATATATATATATATATATATATATATAAAACACTTATCTACCCATGTGATATTATACAGAATAGTTTGACTGCCCTAAAAATCTTTTTGGTTCATCTATTCATTTTTTACTTTCCTGAAACTTCTAGCACAAACTGAATTTAAAGAATGAGTAAGAGGCATTCAGGTAAAGGAGAAAAAATATATGATACATGGACTCTAAGATGAAAAGGCATAACTTAAGTTGTTTTGGGATTCTGTAGGTTGAAAATTTTAGGTGACTTGAGAGGGGAAAAGGACCAGAGAGGAGGTCAAAGAGTTGTAGAGAGTTCATGTTATGAAGGAGTTGCATGGTATAGCAAGGTGTTTATATTTTA